GGGCAAAATCACCAGGGCTTCTCAGAGCAGAATGTAGCCCACTCTGGAGACACAAACAGAGCTAGACTCACATTACTATGGTGACTCTCGGCAAATGACTGGGTAAGTTGTAGATCAACAGTTATGACAGGGAAAATATTCATATTGGGAGTGGTTAACACAAGCTCCTAGGGAGATAATGCTACTCAGGGCCTGGGACTTGCTTTGAAAATATTACCTTCCCTTAACTATCCATTCTTTCTATCTCATTTATAAAAGAAACTATAAGAGAGAATCTAAACAATTACAATTGGGGCTGGCATGTGAATTTAAGAAAAATTAAGCAGGTATTGTAGTAGGTGGTGAAAAAAATAGGTCCTGGAATTAAACTTCCTGGCTGCAAACATATCCAAACAAAAGTCCGGTCTATGAAATACTTTCCTATCCTTGCTTACTTACTCATTTTGAGTAAGGAGATTAAGAGCTGACCCAGCCCAGACTTCCTTCATTTATCAACAAACACTGCCTTAGTAACTGTCTTATCCATACTGGGATTTGAAATCAGCAGAAGAAAAAAGACAAGAAGGGGAATTTTACTGTTCTTAAATTGTCATATTCAAGAGCTAGAAATAAGTGCAAAACTATCAGTGTGAAATGACTCCCTGCCACATCCTGGGCAGAAATTCCAATTTTTTCCACAAGAAATACTTAAGAAAAAATATAAATAATAATTATCTAGGAAACAAAAATAGAAACAGCATATAGCATGCTAAAAAAATAAATAGCTATCTTGGCTTCTCTTGTTCATGATGATTTCTTCTCTAAACTAGGCTAGCATGAACTAAACTGAATGTTGAACTGTGTTAAATGTGTAGGTGTCATTTTTCAAATGTGTGTCCAGAGGAAAAACCTGAGTTCTGGGGTGTGTCATGAAGTGTCCTTCTAGTCTGTAGTTCTAGACACACAGCAGACACCCAGTTTGTTCTGCTTCACTGCAGCTCTTCACAATCTGCAAGTCAGGACTGTTCTGATTAATATTCTGTATCAAAGTCCCAGAAACTCAAGCACAAGTCTGTACAGTACTAGGATTTTAAACATGAGCGTGACTCTTACAGAAGTTTCCCGAATCCTAAGGAATACTTAAGGAAGCACTGTGGAAACCTTCCTTCCTTTTTTGGTTGTGTTGAAAACGCAGCTAGAAGAATCCTTGGACTTGGCGTCCAGCGTCATCAGTTTGCTTTTGCTTCTAACAGCTATTAGGAGACCGTGAGCCAGATAATTCTGGTCAAGGCCCAGCTGAGATCTGAAAAATAATGTTTGAAGTTGATCTTAGGGACCTGACAAGTGATTAAACCTGACTTAGCTGGAGAAAACCAATTAGTTTATTTTCTCCTTGGCTTTCAACCCTGAGGACGTTATGATACACTGGCTTCTAATATGAATATTTCAATGTTCTCCTTTCTCTTTACACAGTATCCCAAAGCAAAGCAGACAGAAAGTTATTTTTACCTTGAGTTCTTCATGCCTTAATGGTTGTGTGGGCCTGTGAAGCCAGCGTTTGCAAGGAAGTAAGCTATTTTGATTTTTTTCTAAGATTCCTTTTATGCATGTGGAATACATGGAAGAAAATGAGCTGAAGGTGAGCTGGGAGTGTAGGTCTGTGGTGGAGCATTTTCATAGCACATGTAGAATTCTACCCTGCATTGCTAGGATCCAAGACACACATCCTACACCACTAGTACCACGAGACAATCTGGGCAACCATGAGGCTTGTTTTATAGTGTCAAGAATGTGGATTATGCTTTCTGAGAAGCAGTCATTTCTAGCCAAGATGGCTAGCCTCCCAAAAGACCATTCCTCCATCTTGTGAAACTCTTGTGAATCTGCCCATTTGCCAAACCCTGGATGGTAGACTTGAAACTCAACTCTCTATTGCAACCTTCCCTTGCCCACCCACTATTAATTAGCCGATCATGTCAGATTGTGAGGTTGAGCTGCCAACAATGGCGTGAGACACAGGTTAACTGGCCCCGCCCATGTGCTTGCTCAGTGCTGTGGGCCATTGTGTATCCTTTTGCAGCAGTACAGTGCTGGGCTGATTTACTTCACTTTGCTCAGTATCTCGCTTTGTGACACCAGGAATATCTTTTTCGAACAGTTTCATTCTCCTGACTTTTAATGGCTGTCTAAGGATCAGTCATATGAGTTACTTTTTCTCTCCTCCCTCTTCCTTTTAAAAATAGACAGGTACTTATTTTAATTTGAAAACTATGATTAGTTCATCAAACCCCCTGAGTTTATGGACACTAATGACTGTGAGGATGCTAAAGAAGATACTTATATAAAACCCTTTAACTTTTGAAGGTGCAGGGAATCAAACCCATGAACTTAAGCATAAAGCACTCTGTCACTGAGCCAGCTACCTTCCTAGCGACTGGTTTTTGGAGAAAGTGTCTTGCTGTGTAGCTTAGGGTGGCCCTTACATTTATTCTCTTGATTTTGCCTCCAGAGTGGCGAGATTATAGACGACTGCCTGGCTAATTAAGTTATTGTTAGTTATGTTGAAAATAAAGTGGGCTAACAAAGAGTTATTTTATTCTACTGTTTTATGGATTGTTGTTAGAGAAGATGGCAAAAAAAATATAACCAACTGGAAATTTATTTGCAGAGTTCACAATACATACATACCCACCTGCGCGCGCGCGCACACACACACACACACACACACACACACACACACACACTTCATTCAGTATCACAAACTGTTCAAATCAGTTTGAGGATCATTTCACTATTAGTGTTTTGAGGGCAGAAGCATGTTTTGCCAGCCTCTGCGTCCCAACTCATCACTTGGTATATGTTTAGTTCTTAATGAATACTTACTGAATATACTTAAGAATGCAGGATTTTTCATGCATATTAGATACTTCTAGCTTAAAATAAAACTAACCAATATGCTATTTTCAACTGAATGAAGCCATCTTCTAGGCCTCACCTAATACAGAGCCTGGCATTTTACAGGCACTCAACAGTTTGACAAATAAAGAAAAACATACAGGTAGTCTTACCAGACATTCTGTAATGTTTGATCTTTAACATGCTTTAAGGGTTCTTTGGTGTATATATAGTGCTATCTACTTGTGCTGTTAATAATAAACCATCAGTGCAAATACAGACATGTACTATGGGCCGCAAATCATAATTTGAGAAGACAGTAACTAGTTTGCACATTAAAGTCGTGATTTGCCTTTTGAAATCTGCTATAGAAGTTATTACCCCATTTGTTGTTCACAAAAACCCTAGCAGGAAGGAAGAGGCGGCCCAGCTTGTACTGATAAAAGATGGGGGAAAGGTAGACACATTTAAATTATCTTCACTTGGAAAACAAAAAGCTCTGGCTTTGTGGAGTGGTTAAGATGACTAAAGCATCACCTAAGTCCAATATCCAAGGGCAAAGTTCTTTCGCCAGAATCTTGGGTATTCCGAATTCCTTAGGGAACTTTTAGGCCACGGTCAGAGGGGTTGAAGGTCAGAGCAGGGGCTTTGAGGCAGTGACAGTAGAGGGCATTTATTCAGTTCTTACAGAGAACTAGAAACAGCAATTCCCAAAAGCAGCTGTAAAGCAAGGTACTATTACTTAAACTCTCCACTAAAGGCTTCCAAGGCTTCGCAGAAGCTAACTCACATTCGTCTAAGACCTCTCAGCATGAAGGAGACCTCAGCTAAGTTTCACTCTAGGGGCTGAGATTCAGTACCAGGCCATTCTTCCATGAGAGACAGTTGAGACCAAGACAGGAAACTGATTTGCTCTGATCCCTCAATAAGTTCTGAGTACAAGACCAGAGAAATATGCTCCTTTTAAAAAGTCACCCCTCTGCCACACACACTACAGGGAACTGCCATTTTACCAATAGAATAAAGTAAAATCCTTGGTAAGGTCTTATTACAGGTTCATAGAAAAATATTAGATCCCGTTCATTTAAGAACCTTCCCTTCAGGCCAATGGCTTTTTTTTTTTCTTCAAGAAAGAAAGACCATGAAATTGGATAGACACGGCATGAGGTAGGCAAGGGTCTGTGAAGAGTTGGGGGAGGGCAGAGTAAGATCAGCATATATTACATGGTATTCTCAAAGAATAAGTCAGTAACAAAAAAAAAGTCAAGAGGACTGAACTTTCAGTAAACAACCTTGATGAAACTCACTGGGTCTCCTTTTCTCTCTCTCTCTCTCTCTCTCTCTCTCACACACACACACACACAAACACACACACACACACACACACACACACACACACACACACACACAGTTGAAGGGGGCACTAGCCAAGAAGATGAAGGATTCCTAGGAGTGGGAGAGGGACAAAAGAGGTTAGGAGTGGTGGTGCATATGATCTAAACATTATGCGCTTGTGTGGAAATGTCATCGACAAACCCATTATTATGTACGACTAATATTTGGTAAGGAACATTTTTAAGACACCATAATAAATCCAAATACCCTGTATGCTAATATTTTAAAAATTTTAGGGAAAAAAATAGAAGCCTGTAGTTACAGCCAGTTTAACAACTGTGACCACATGGGGGAGCTATGAGTCTATCTTTCTTGGCTCCTAGGCAAGGTGCCCTAGCGCCCCCCTTGGGCTGTGTGCAGCTCTGAGGTCCCACCCAATAAGGAAGGGCTTGGCCCCGCCCCCGAAGTTGTGAGCCCCTCTTTAGCCCCGCCCCTACGCAGAAGGGCGGGGCCTCACCTACTGGAGTCCTGAGCAGCAGCTCTCTAGTTCCTCCCCTGGGGGCGGGGTGTTTGGGGGGGACGGCGGGAGCAGGCCTCTAGCTCAGCCCCTACAAGGAAAGGTGCAGGCTCCGACCGGGTAAATAAAGCCTCCCTCCAATCAATCCCTGCAGGGCTACCGACTCGGCAGCCCAGCCCCTAGATGAAGCGGGAGGGAGGAAATGGGAGCAGCCCCTCTGGCTCCGCCCCCACACGAAAAGACACCCGCCCCGCCTCCCTAGTCCCGCCTCTACCTGGAAAGGCTTAGGCCTGGGCCCCGCCCCCAGAGGCCATACTCTCACGGGAAAGTTCTCCAGGCCGCGTGCTACATCTTGTTGTTCTTTCAGGGCCGCAGATTCCTCCTCCGCTGCTGCTGTCCCTAAAGAACGCTGCTCTACAGCTTCCGCAGACATTAACAGTCTCACTCCGCCTACTAACCTGACCGTCTTGGCCCTCCAGAGGGGAGGATGCTGGGAGTTGGGGATTCCGCGGCCCCACTTCCTTATGGGAGTTGTAGTTTTCGTTTTTCACACGCGGCAGGTGAGGGCAATTCCTCCCTCTGCGTTGTAAGGATGCTTTTGGTCTGGATCCTACTGTTTTGAGACAGATACCAGTTAGAGAACTTGAAATGTTTTAGTTTTTCTGGGGAACCTTGAGAAGCATGTTCAGCTTTTTGCGGGTTTAGTAGATGCGCCTCCTAAGATAAGGAAGAACACACACACACCAGAGTATCTATAAAGATTAGAACCCCTGGAGAAGCTGCATGACTGACTGGTGGTGGATTTTGTGTTACAGTCCTCTCCTTGTAAGCTTACCTTCTTTTCACACAATCATGGAAGAAGTTTTGGATAGAGTAGAGATAGCCTCTGAGTTTCTGAATCTGGCGGAATATTTTAACATACCTAAACTTTCCTTTCTGCTTCTCTTGATATATGTAATTTTCTATCCCCACAGCTTTCACGGTCTTGGTGACTGACAGGTTGGAGGCTCAAGGGGAGCAGTGAGATTTTTTAGAAGAGACATTAATGCTATAGACAGACAGGCAGACAACAGGGCCTACCTGGCAAAGTGCCAGTTTCTTCTTACAGGTTTCAGAGGAAGAAGGGAGTAGTTGATGATTAGCCCACAATATGTGTTTGCAGGTAGGCTTTTTCTGAATTATCTACAAGGGTAACTGAATTACTCCAGTTTCTGCAATTATTACAGTTCAATACATATGGAGGAACATTATAAAATGCATGGCCCTGAATTTTTCATCTTGATGTCTTACAGAACAAAATTACAAATAAATGTGTGTGTAACTCAATATATACTTAGTTAAGTATGTATCTGATAAGTTAGATTTGTTTTGCAACAGGGTCTTAGTATGTCACCCAGTCTGGTTCAGAAATAATTTATAGGAAAGCAGCCTAAGCCACTAAGAGAGAGGCTACACATGCCTTTTTCTATGAGAACAGGGCTTGTAACTAGCTATCAGCAGGTCACAGAGTTGTCTATGAGTTTTTCATCTTAGAAGATGGCTCAAATGTAAGAATAAGGATTCTTGTTAATAGGACCAAGGTATCTTTTGAGACAGAAGGATGGCAACAAGTTTGAGGCTAACCTTGGCTAAACAAATTAAAACTCAATGATAAGTAAAGCAAAAGCAATAACAACAAAAAGAAGATAAAAAAATAAAAGAGTAATGTAAACTGAAACCCATGTCTTTTAGCAATTAAAATTTTATGTTAAAGTGTATGGTGTGTGGGTCATAAAGTAATACCATGATGCTTTTTACGTGTTCTTGTGGTTAGACTGCTATTACATTATTTCATCAGAATAAAAATCTATGTATTGCTCTATTTTGCCATTTCAGTTTGGTTTTATGAGATCCATTTGATGTGGGATTCCTCTCTATATTCTGTAAATAGCACTGGTTAATAACGAATCTGTCTTGGCCTGTGATAGGGCAAAAAAATAGAGCTAGGTGGGGAAAATGAAACTGAATGCTGGGAGAAGGAAGGTGGAGTAAAAGAGAAGCCATGGAGCCGCTGCCAGAGAGAGATATGCTGAAACCTTGCCAGTAGGCCACGAGCCTTGTGGTACAATATAAAATAATGAAGATGGGTTAGTTATAGATGTAAGAGCTAGCTAGCAATACACTTAAGTAATTGGACAAGCAGTGATTTAATTAAGAGTTTCTGTGTGATTATTTTGGGAGCCTGGGTGGCCAGGAAACAAATAAGCAGCCTTCTTACAACATCCATTACTTATTTTGTTAAGAAGTAACAAATAAGACAGAAAAAACATAAAGATTAATTACAGTATGAGTACATTAGCTGTAATATTTGGAAGTGAATACTATAGAGTATGTCATAGTGATATTCTATGATATACAGGTAAAGAGGTTAAAGGAGGGAGCTATGAATTTATTTAACCTGGAACATCAACAGTTAATTTCACTCGCAATAAACATGAATGCATTTAGTATTAGGTGAACACAAACATCAAGGCTCTGAGAATGGACTCTATTTTTTAACAACTTGACCTTAAAAAAACATGGCTTGGAATTATGTTTATTTTCGTTTTCACTCCATGTTCTAGGTAGTAAGCATTTTCATAATATCTCAAAAGTTATCCTAAAAAATAGAATTTGCTTTTCTCAATTTTTAGTGGGATCTATTGGTGTAGCATAAAATGAACAGCTAGCCACTTTCCACATAGATGGGTGTTTATTCAAGTTTTGTCTCTTTGTGTTAATTTAGTTCTGGCTACAGAAAAAATCCATTACACAGGTAAGCCCATATCTATGGGTGCTTAGAGGATGATTTCAACAGGTGCTGAGAGGGGAATCCTTACAGTTCAGGATCTTGTTCAGAAAGAACCTTAGTATGTTTTCCACTCTGATAGCTTCCCAGTTTCTGTTCTGACACTCGTGAATGGGAAGGTTTCCTGTAAGGACTGCAGCTCAGATGGAAAGGGATCCTGGCAGTTAGGAGCCAAAGAGAACCACAAAGTCCCTGGAAGGGTAGCAATTTACAGCCCTGCTCAAAGGAAAGGTTTCCTCAAATGTAGCAACTCTGCCCTGGCAGAGGAGGGCTTCCACAGTGAAAGGGTTACAATCCTGCTCTGCTCAGCTCAGCTCTGGCTATGCAGCAAGTTGTTACTTCTCTGCTATGCTCCATTCTGGCAAAAGAAGATTGTCACCCAAACCTCGTTCAAGAGATTTATTAGGAGGGAAGAATCCAGGAGAGTGGCTGCCTCTGCCAGGGTGGGGAAAGGCAGCAGCACAGGGATAATATAGGGCTTCTTAGGGGGTAGAGATTTCAGGGTGGGAACTGGTTAGATTTCAAACTCCTTGAGCTTGGACAGGCCCAGAATGGCTAGTTTTTGTGCTCAGGGATTGTGTTATATGATGTTTTTGCTCTTTTACTCTTTGATTTTTTGAACTCTTTTGGGGGGGTGGGGAGGGAGACATCCCATCTTCTGGCTCCTACAGTTTTTCCAGTCTCTCTTCTGCCATGTTCCCCAAGCCTTAGGTGGAGGGGTTGTACTGGAGATGTATCTGTGGGCACTCCATTGCCAGTTCTCTGCATGTTAAGTAGCTTTCTGTAATAGTCTCTGTCTGCTGCAAAAGGAAGCTTCTTTGATGAGGGTGAGAGCTGCATTTCTCTGTGGATATAAAAGTATTAAGGGTGCAGTTAGAGATTATACTGATTTGGGAAAGTAGCACTAGGAGGTTATCCTGTAGGTACCATGGCCTCATTAGCTATGGAGAGTTGGTTAGATTTACAGTACCAGGTATGAATCCCCCACGGTTGAGTGGGTCTTAAGTCCAATCAGATGGCTGTTGGCTACTATTGTACCCTGGGGAATTTCCTGCCATGCTGGCAGCGTTGCTGTGATTCATGAACATCACAGCTGGGTAGGACTGCTTACTTTTCCTCTTGGTAACTTATATAACAACCTCTGGTGCTATAAAAGTTACTTCTTAAGGATGAGGCTTCCAGGTTAGACTTAGCTTGCTTCCTATGAGTTCTGAGTTCAAAGTGTGTGGTGTCTATAGCATCAGAGACTCATGCAAATTCAGTGAGACCACCAAGGGCAAAGGAAAGAGCTTATTGTTTTGTGAGTTGCTTGGATTCCTCTGGTCAATAACTTCATGGTGGTTTGAATGATAAGAACCATATAGGCTCATTTGAATCCTTTGTTGTCAGTTGGTGGAATTCTTTGGAAAAGGTTAGGAGGTGTGGCCTTATTGGAGGAGGTGTGTTACTGGGGGTAGGCTTTGAAATTTCAAAAGCCCACATGATTCCCCGTGAGCTTTCTCTTTGCCCTATGCTTGTGGATCAAGATGTGAGATCTCAGCTACTGCTCTAGTGCCATGCTTACCTGCCTGCTGCCATGTTCACCATCATGATGGTCATGGAATTGAGTCCTCTGGAACCATGAGCCTCAAGTTAAATGCTTTCTTTTTAAATTGCCTTGGTCATGGTGTCTTTTCACAGCATTAGGAAGGTTACTAAAACAAACTCAAAAGGAGGTTTCTCATGTCTGGTGCTGGGAATTTTGTTAGACAGTCTATGGCTCTTGAGGGGAACGTTAACATAGACAGTATTCTGTAAAATATAGGTATAGAAAAGGACTTTCTAAATAGGCTCAATTTGCCCAGAAATTGAGGTCAACGCTTGACAAGCTGGACCTCACAAAACAATTGTACAGCAAAGGCCCCAATCAAATGAGTGAAGAGAAAGCTCATGTAGTTGGGGAGAATCTTTGCTATTTCTATATCCAATAGAGGATTAATATTTAGGATAACAAAGAACTCAAGAAACCAATAATCAAGAAAATAAGAGATCCAGTTAAAAATGGACTATGGGTCCGAACAGAGAGTTTTCAAAAGAAGAAATAAAAATGGTTAAGAAATATCTCAAAAAGTGTTCAACATCCTTCTTAGTAGGGCAATGCAAATTAAAATTAATTTGAAAGCTCACCTTATCTCAGTCAGAACAAGAAACAACTGCTAACAAATGTTGGAGAGGATGTGGGGAAGGGGGATTCTCATCCTCTGTCAGTGGGATTGGAAACTGTTGCAGCTACTCTGGAAACCAGTGTGGAAAATTATCAAAACATTCAAAATAAATCTGCTATATGACCTGGCTGTGCCATTACTGAGAGTGTGCGCAAAGGTCTCCACATCCTACTCCACAGACACTTGTTCAGCCATGTTTATTGCTGCTCTATTCACAAAAGCCAGCAAATGGAAACAGCCTAAATGTTCTCTATTAGCTAATGGATAATGGGAATGCGGTACTTATGTACTGTGGAATACTATTCAGCTGCAAAGAAAAAGGAAATTGTAAACTTGGCAGGAAACTACTGAACTGAGTGAGGTAACTCAGGCCCAGAAAGACAAAGGCTGTATGTTTTCTATAAGTTGTAAATCCTAGCTCTGAATCCTCAGATGTGAGTATGT